GACCTTTGGTATACAATTCATGCCCTCTGCTATTGAGCAATGGCCTCACTCTGGTGCTTCTGAACCTTCCACAATCCATTCATAGCAGGAGCACTATTGGTCAATGAAGTGCTGAGTGCTCTCAAAAAAACTAATGTATTAATGTTACTCCTACGTTTATTAAAGTGTACACCACTACCAAGTTTACCAGCGAGCTTATTTGAGCCCTCTTTGCCTATCAAACAATTGCTTTGGCATATCAGTCTTTCCAAACTAATGCTTACCTGCCCCTCCTCTTAATTTGAAATACTTTGCGAGTACCAACTTCATTACACCCTCTATAATAGGCTACAGAAATTGTTTTTGTCAATTGCCATCTTGCAGACTACTTAGAAAATATACAGGAGATTTATTCAGGCTGAAGCAGCATTAAAATGTCATAGAATATAAATTATACCCTGCATTGTTCAAGTAATTTAATTGGGTGTGATTCAGTTGGACTAAAATAGCTTGATTTGTGGGTGAATGTACACGACAAATAATCTATAACAAAGGAGAGTGACATGCAAGATAAATAAATAAATTATAAATCCAGGTCTCCTGTGCAATTCTAAAGACTAATTATGGAATGAGGCAAACGGAAACATGTTTGAAGTGGACCGGATTACACACCTGCATTTACGGATGTAAGACATTGAATTTTGCAATATCCATATTAGAAAGTTGCCGCAGAAGGACAATCATGCACTATAATCCCAGGAAAGTGAGCATTACTGGTAGCCCACTAGCGCCACCATTTGGGAAAATCTAATATCACCAAATATTGCTACATAAATGCAGAGATTCCCAAAAACACATGCCAGGCACATGAATGTGCAACCAGAGGGGCTGAGGTCTTCATCTGCATAATTTTTAGTTTTCATAGAATTAGGGACCCCCTTGCCACCCTCAGATAGTAAAGAGATGTTTGATTTATTACCTGCCCTCCAGCATTAGTTGCAGCAACTTAAAAATACAATATTAAACAGCGTAAAACAAATTACAGTCGTAAGAATAGGGTGAGCCCTAAGAATATATATCTCCAGCAACAAAGACCAGGGTAAAGAGGGGCGCATCCTGATGTACAACATAAACTATATAATGAAGGGCAAAAGCCGCCTTTCAGATTTTTGGCGCCTACATCTTTAAGGGCTCTAAACATCAAGGTCAGCATCTTGAATTGGGCCCAGAAATGAGCTGGCAACTAACGCAACTGTTTTAAAACGGAGTTATACAAGATCGAAAGGAAACCTCAGGAAATCCACTCACTGCATTTTGTACCACTTAAAAGTTTCCAAGTCACCTTCACATAGAGTGCACTGCAGTAATCCAGTCTGAAAGTTACTAGCGCATGGAGTACTGCGGCCAAGTTGTCTCTTGTCTTAAAGGTGCTCGAAGCTGGTGAACCAGTCAGAGATGGAAATAGCCCCTTCTGTCCACTGAGACCATCTGAGCCTCCAGGGACAATATTGAATGCAGGAGGAGCCCCCAAGCTAGGACCTGCTCCTTCTAGAGAAGTGCAACTTCATCCATAACATCTCCATCTTTTCAGGATTCGGTTTCATTTTATTGGCTCACATCCAGCCCATCCCTGCCTCCGGTCCAGCACCTCAACCTCTCCTGATTGAGATGAAACAGAAAGATTGAGCACAGTGTCTCCTGCATTCTGGTGACACCTCACTCCAAATCTCCTGAAGACCCTTCCCAGCAGCTTCAGGTAGATGTTGAATAGCACGGGGGACGAGGTGGAACCCTGTGGACACTTCAGGACAGTATCCATGGTGCTGAACAGGCGCGTACTCCATACAGTGGTACCTTGGTTTAAGAACAGCTTAGTTTATGAACAACTTGGATTAAGAACGCTGCAAAGCCGGAAGTAGGTGTTTTGGTTTGTGAACTTTGCTTTGGAAGCAGAACATGTTTCACTTTCTGTTGAGTGTGTTCCATTTGTAAATTGAGTCCCTCGCTGCTAAAGGAAAGCATGCCTTGGTTTAAGAACGCTTTGGTTTAAGAACGGACTTCCGTAACAGGTTAAGTTCGTAAACCAAGATACCACTGTAACTACTTTCTGGAAACAGTCCTGGGGGTAGAAATGGAACCAATGAAGTATGGTGCCCTCAGCCTCTCTCTCCCTGAGCTGCTCTATGAGAACACCATAGTAAATTACAGTGGTACCTCAGGTTAAGTACTTGATTCGTTCTGGAGGTCCGTTCTTAACCTGAAACTGTTCTTACCCTGAAGCACCACTTAAGCTAATGGGGCCTCCCGCTGCTACCGCACCACCAGAGCACGATTTCTGTTCTTATCCTGAAGCAAAGTTCTTAACCCGAGGTACTATTTCTAGGTTAGCGGAGTCTGTAACCTGAAGTGTATGTAACCTGAAGTGTATGTAACCCGAGGTACCACTGTATATTGAAATTCACCCAGAGGTGGATCACACTCTCTGCGATCTCCCCATCTCTCTCTTGACAGATGTCTTCAGCCAGAATGACCAAGGTGGTTTTAGTACCATGACTGGGTCTGACGCCAGAGTGAAATGGATCTAGATATTATCCTCCCAAGAATGCCTCAAAGTCGACTGCCAGTACTCTCTCAAGCACAGCCACTGGGCAACAACGATGATGATGATGATGTTATTTATACCCCATCATCTGGCTGGGTTTCCCCAGCCATTCTGGGTGGCTCCCAACATAGTATTAAAAAAAACGATAAAACATCAAACATTAAAAACTTCGCTAAACTGGGCTGCCTTCAGATGTCTTCTAAAAGTCAGATAGTTGTTCATTCCCTTGACATCTGACAGGAGGGCTTTCCACAGGGCGGGTGCCACCGCTGAGAAGGCCCTCTGCCTGGTTCCCGGTAACCTCACTTCTGGCAGGGAGGGAACCGCCAGAAGGCCCTCAGCGCTGGACCTCAGTGTCCGGGCCAAACAATGGGGGTGGAGACGCTCCTTCAGGTATCCTGGGCTGAGGCCATTTAAGGCTTTAAAGATCAGCACCAACACTTTGAACTGTGCTCGTAAACGCAACAATTGCTTAACATTTCAGAGTCTAGGGGGGTCCTCTTGAGGGGATGGCACCACCAGCTCTTTCACAGTGAATGGTAACTCCCCTTCCTCCAATGAAGCATTAACTACTCTCTGGACCCTGGGAGACCTTCAACCTTCCCTGGTCCACAGTTTGGCAATCTATGGTGTTGAAGGTCTGTATGGCCACTCAGAAAATCTTGTCTCACCAGATATTGCTCCTAAAATCTAAAAGATGTAATATTGCTAATGGTGTTGATAGGTTTATTTGTGGACTGTGCTGCTGACAATAACACACTTTTCCAGCTTTGATTGTGAGAAGATGAAAGGAGTCTGAAGAGCAGCATGCGGAGAGAAAAACCAAGCAGAGTCAAGAACATTCTTTGCTCCAGGATAAGATATTTTGTGCTACATCTATGCACTGATGTAAGGCACAGCAATCAGATCCCTCAAAAAATGAGTGTTTGCCATAGAAGATAAATAGAGGTCAGCAAAAATCTGTTCTATTAGGAGATGAACTTCTCAGTAAGGCTGTACAACTTGCAATACACCAGGCCAAACGCGGTTCATCAGTTGTGGATGGCGTCCGCACGACCCCTTGGCAATTCCCCCAGGATAGGTAACCTAGATCCTCCAGATGCCATCCTCCCAACTCTCATCAGCTCTGGTCACCATGGCCAATGGCCAGGGATGATGAGAGTTGTAGTCCAACATCATCTGGAGAACCACAGGTTCCCAGCACCTGCCCTCCCCTCTCATTCAGGAATTTGTTGTTATTCATCTGCTATAGCAGAGAGAGGAGATCAGTGCAGAATGGGGACCCCTCTACACAAATCTCATTTCTTGTGTTCCAGGAAAGAAGCAAAATTAGGTAGAACAGCAAGCTTCTGGTGGGCCTCCACCCATTGCTAGTGTCCTGCATTCAGCTTGGTAGCTATGCTCATAGACTCATAGAAGAATTTGAAGGGACCCCGAGGGTCATCTAGTGTAACCCCCGGCAATGCAGGAATCTCAACTAAAGCATCCATGACAGGTGACCATCCAACCTCTGCTTAAAAACGTCCAAGGAAGGAGAGTCCCAAAGGAGTCCATTCCACTGTTGAACAGCTCTTACTATCAGAAAGTTCTTTTTGATGTTTAGTCGAAATCTCCGTTCTTGTAACTTGAATCAATTGGTTTGAGTCTTACCCTCCGGAACAGGAAAAAACAACATACCCAACTGCCTGAACCATTCCTCCTGGTTTCCAGACCCTTCCTTGATCATCTTGGTTGCTCTCCTCTGCAAGCATTCTAGCTTGTCAATATCCTTATTAAACTATGGTGCTGAGAACTGGACACATGCAGTGATGTTGGGACCAGAGGCAAAATACCTCGGTTTCCGAATGTCTCCGTTCCTGAACATTTTGGTTTTCAAACGCTGTAAACCTGGAAGTAAATGCTTCGGTTTTCGAACATGCCTCGGAAGTTGAACATGCCACGCAGCTTCAACAACCTGAATCCCAGCTGTCGACTATTGAGTTTTGGGTTTTCGAAATAGCTGTCGGCTATTGAGTTTCTGGTCTAATTTCTACATACATTCGCCTCTGTCCTCCAGAGCCTGACAGGCAAGGGACATTATCAGAGCTTACTGAACACAAAATTGGCAATAGTCACACAAACCAAGCTTGCTGTCATTCTCAGGGGTGTGGATTTATCCTTCTGCGAGCTAAACATTCACGTTCTTGAAAAACAGGCCCAAAAAAATAGCCTTTTTTTTTTTTTGCTTTTATTACAAGCATATAATATTAATTGGCAGAACACTGAATACAAGCTTCACTATCATAAAATCAAAACATTAAGCAATAATCCCCCAAAAGGCTTATCCAGACAAAAACTAGCCACCAATAGTACAAAAGTTACACAGCAACACAAAGCGTAAAAAAAATTGTAAACTTTCAAATGAAACCAAGCCAAAAAATATGATTTATTTGTTTTTAATACGGCAAGAATTTTCAGTAACTTAATTATGCCACAAAGTGAGGATAAAGGCTTAAACGGTTGCACTGGCTTATTGTCCCATAACCCTAAATTTATCTCGTTGCAAGCGAATGGTATTCTTGACACTTGCCCTGTCACTTGGCTGTTATCGCTGCCTTTTTAAATAGGGCATTTTGCAATACCCGAAGCCCAGCGGGTGTGCACAGTGCACCTTAGGTAACTTTCCTCACCCAAGTAAATGTGCCCATTCACACAAAACATTAGGAGGAGGAGGACCCACTTGTAGCTTCGACAGGTTCAACGCTCATGGGCATTCGTAGAACTCCAGATAGGTGCAGTGGTCAGAACAACACATTCAGCAACAGAACAAGGCCAGGAACCGAGATCTGCCACAGAGCTGCAAAGCAGTAGGGTTAAGGGAACCAACTGCAGCAGAGGAGTAGGGTGGGAGAAAGTGCTTAACATTTCCTGCACCATTTCCCTCCTGCAACCTCCACTTGACCCCAGCCAGGGCTCCAGAAGCATGTTTGTAGGATTGTAGAGGCAAGTGGTCAGTAGGAGAAATGGTTAAGCAACACACACAAACACCCTGCTTCCTCTGCTGCAAATCTCCATCTTATCTGCCAATTTGCAGCTGCTCAGCAGAAACCCTGGATAGCAAGGAGCTGGTAACCCTGGCCTTTGTGAGTCACCTCCAGGGCACAATTGTGCTCAACGAAGAGGGGAGGAATTCAAACGGCAGCAGCCAGTTTTTAGGGTTAGAAACCAATTCCTGGAGAATGTGCGTTCAGCCACCACTTCCACTTAAAGCAGAAACTGCGTTTCTAAGCCAACAGTATGCATCTTGCTAAAAACGTTGCATTTCCTGTGCACATTTTGACTATAAGGTGAATACGTCCACTTGCAATTCTGGCATGCAATGGGGTCTGCCTGCGCACCTCATCTTTTTACATTTGAAATTGGAGGGCACATGTATATATGTTAAGTTAAGGTATCACGTGAAGTGTTTAAAACTGGAGCAATTACCTGAGGAAATACAGAAACAGATTTTTTTCTGTAAAATACAGTTTTAACCATCTGCAGTAAATGCATTTCTTATGTACTGGTTAAAATATAAAGTTATCAAAGTTATTGTGTAGATGTACAAACTGGTTGGCTTTCTCCTGTTGCATTTAAATTTACAGCTCAGTTTCAAATCATTGCAAATAGGCTATGCTAATAGAGTTGTCATCCACTGGAAAAGAAAACAGGACAGTGAATCTCCCAAGACTAATTAGATTGTTATGAAAACAATAAGAGCCAGATAAGCTTTCAAAAGGCTCAAATCCTACTGAGGGGGGAAAAATAGCACCATCATATTTTGAAGTCTGATATTTTAAAATGATTGCATTTCCCCTCCAAGGTTACAGTTTGCATCTGGAGCATTGCACAACCACTGAGAAATAAATATTTCCAGGTTAAATGGTATACAAATAAGAGAGAAATACCAGACATATTAATGGCACACAAAAAAAGATTCGGATAGGTTGCAAGTCTTGCCAATTTCTTCCACATTTTACATTTAAGAGTTTTTTTGCCAAATCTTTTTGTTAAAAAATATTGCTGACAGGTAGTTCTTTCACACGGACACAACTCCCAAATGTCACTCTTAAAAATCCCAGGAAGGAAAAACAAAAAACAGAAGAGCCCATTTGAATGTACACTTAAACCCACCTACATTCCTTTTCAGATCTGTGGTTAGTAGATGCTACATTTAAAATCTTAAAGGTATGCCTAACAGAAGCATGTTTCAAACCTATTGCACAAAAAGCATAAAGTAATGCTCTTTATCCATACAAAACAAAAACATACTAAAAAAATAATAATCAAAGAAGGGGCCAAACTAAATATGCAGCTGCTGTCATACATGATCACAGCTGTATCCTCCCTCTTTACTGCTCCGTAATATCTAGTACAACTTACCTGTGCCTCATGTAAGAGCGTTCACCATTTCTCATATCATTGTCTGCCTCCGGAAGGGTGCAAAGAGATGCGAAATGGCAGGAGAGCACAAATAAGTAATCATAAACATTACGGAGGTGGGGAGAAGACTTGACACGCGGCTACCATTTTTGGTTGCAGCCACCCATTCAGCACATCATCCAGTCTGGCCCTCACAAAAAGAAGGAAGAAGCTTGTAAAAAACATCTCACAATTTCATTTTATATGCCCATAAATAAAGCTGGACCATCAAAACCAAAAAAATACTTAGATGGTAAAAAGTAAGATAGAATGCTTAAAATAGAATAAATAATTTTATAAAGTTAACTTTTAACCCCCCCTGCCCCAATCTTATTTAAAATTCAATATTATATATTCTGATTTCTCTATTTTAAAAGAAAATTATACCAAGTGAGAACATGAACCTGCGTTATGCTCGTCTCTTTTGTTGCTGAGGATAATGCAACAAGATAATTTTACTGCATTTATTTACCAGCGGTAAGCAGTCGTTTGAAAAAACAAAAAACAAAAAAAACCTCGAAAACCAACTTCACAGTAACTTTTATAGATCACTTATTCAACCAAATTGCGTGGCCTGAGCCACTCAAGCTGAAAATGATTCCAAGACCTAAAGCCAGAAGATCAACAGAATGTTTTGCCAACATAATCATTGTGCAACCTGCCCCTTAAAAACTTCACAGAAGAGAGACAATTTCTATCACAAGGATCTGCTCTGTTGGTATTCACTGTGGTTGTGTTGTTGTTTTTTCCTGATAAAACAAGTCAGCCAGGTCTTTGGAACAAACACACCCCAAGGAACTGAGTTTCCACAGAAAAAAAATGTATTCTAAGAAGCTGTTGAGAAAGAAAGAAAAAACCAAATATTTTCTGCCAAGGTTGTTTTCATCAGGCTGTTATAAAAGCAGAGATAAATACTCGCTGAAGAGCAGCAAAACCAGCTTAGGTGTCAACTGCTGGGTTTGGTTCCATGCACCTGCCTAGATATATATTTAAATATATTTATATAGCACCGTATCAAATTCAAGTGATTCAAAAATTTGCTAGAAACTTAGCAATACAGATTCTGTAGACTGCTGCAGTCAAGAGTTGTGGGGGTGTAGTTTGCATCTTGATACTATTTAATCCCTCAGTTTTAAGTTACACAGGATAACATTTATATTCCGTATTTTAAGATGGCATTGGTCATACAATTCAGCTGTGTATCTAGTCTGAGGTAGACTGAATAGTTGTATATGGTCATTTAACCCTCTAAAAGATTAATTGAATCAAGTGGGCATTGGACAAGGCTCCAAGCTTAAGGCTCACTAAGCAATGTTAGCCAATATGTTTTCAGATAGCACCATATGGCCTGTGAAATTGGGGGAAACCTTAAAGTTAAGACTCTTCTTTTTCCAGGGGCCTCACACAGTCCCATATAGTCCTCCACACTCCACAAATCCATAGTCTTCCATTAACCAGTGCTTTCATTTTTAATATTGGAAGATACTTTCTGAACAATGGCAAGCAATAGCTTAACATGAAATGGGAAATTGCTTTTCACAGAAGTATGGCCTTATTAAGAAGTAGAAGCTACAAATTTAAGGGAAATTATCCAGTGGAAAATTCTCCTGCGAACAGGATAAGTGCCCTTAATGTTTAGTGTAGTCTTTGTGGTGCCCATTCATTTCAACAGGGCTTGCCCTGGAAGACTTTCCAGCGAAAGAGTGTCCAGTGCCGTCTACTGCTAAGCCAAATCTCATCTAGTCATCTCAACATTTCCTACTTGCTCCCATTTCCCCTTCGTTCCTCTAATTGACTCCTTTGACTTCCACCTATTCAGATTTCCCATGATAAAATCTGAGGTAACGAAGGCCACACTGCTCACCTTAGAAAGATGGGCTCCTATCACACTGACAGGAGGAGCCAAAGGCATAGAGGAGGACAATGGCTGAAAGAAGCTGGGTGATGAACTTTAATTCTAGTTGATGACAATAGAAAAATCAGGACTAAGGAAGGAAATGACAATTCCTAACTGAAGAGGTGAGGGAGGTCTAGCGCTGCGAGAATCATCCATTCAAGAAGATGAGAACAGTATTTTAACTTGAGTGTATGCTATTAACACAGATACTTGATCTCAATGTTATCCAGCAACTACCTGCTTCGGACTTCGGTTTGGTAAGGATTTGTTAAATGGTCCACATTTACACCACCCCCTTGTTGCACCCTATCTGGGCTTCTTCCACAAAGGAAAGTCATTAACCAGCCCCCATTAATATAGAGCAAGAATGCTCAGAAAAACAAGTAGCAAAGATGGTCAAACTGCTATGGGCTAAGCATATTGGCTACTCAAGCATGTCTCCCTAAGTGGGGGAAAGCCTTCTACCAAGTCTGGGGAAACATCATCTCCCCCTCGACCTTCTTGCCGGTCTCTCTGAAACTCACCGCCTGTACACGACACTTATTCATTCGACCGCTCTGTGCTTCTCGTCAAGCCCAAATCCCACCAGCAGCGGGTTTATAAGCAACAGAGATAGGAGAAACCTAACTCAAGGCAGCGTACTGCAAAACGGCAAAACGGCATGGAAAGTGATGTACCCTCTTCCCTACCAGTCCCTGGGATAAATACAAGTCCCAGCCAAGCTGGTGCCTGATGGCGGAAAGGCAGGTTTGTGTACATGCAAAGAATACACATGCCTCTGTGCATGTATGTGCATGTGGGAGAGGGAAAACATGCCAGTACGTAGGGTTACGTGCAACAATGAGAGTATGCACACGTGTTACTGGGTGCAGCCCAGACTGGACCATTTAAATGGCCCCCGATGAAAGGGCCTCACGTGCCCTTGACCAATGAAGGCTAGCATGCAGTTTATCACACACCCACTTTGTGCGTGGTGCAAACTTGCAGAAGTCACATCCGAACGCAAACTTTAAAAATAAAAAATCTCAAGTTGCTTAAAGTGGAGCAGCATTTATCCTTTTTTAAGCTGTTCAATCCTCTATTGAGACAGTACTTACATAGTTTAGAGGGGCTAATGCATTCCTAGGGGGCTGGATTAAAAAATAAATAAAGATTTATAATTAAGGCCAGGAAGTACCACATTGCCATCTAAATCTGACCCCCATAAAGTTAATTCAGCAGAGAGTCAGGTGAACAGAACTGACTTACTAGGGAAACCAGAAACCAGAAAGAAAGTCAATGTACTAACGCATGTCGCCAAAGTGTGCTGTAGCATTAGTATTCGAGTGTTGTTCAAAAGGAACAAGACTGGAGTTCAAGTAGTTAAGGCTGCCAATGGCTTATTTCATTTACTGAAAGGCAAATCCCTCAGTCCAATATCAGCCCCAGCTCCGCAAGATCTATGTTCTAAATGCTCAGCACTTTTGATGTGACTGATAAAACCACGAATGGAAACAACTGAAAGTCTTCCAATAACCTCATCCAATGCACCAGCAAAGGAACCACGGAGAACAGTCTAGAACAGCGAAACGTAGGAAATTCACTGCCAGCCATTAGATCTTTGTCAATGTTAAATAATCTAGGAAGGGCTTTACTAACAGACAAGATGGCCGTGAGGTATAAAGAGACAGAAAATCTTGCAAAAAAATGTGCCACGTTTAAGTTACGTTGTGAAGCAACACAAAAGTGGCTTAGGGGCAACAAATTCAAAATTCATCTCCTTCACAACACTTTAAACCTATTTTGCGTCTTTGCAAGATGATGACCAAGAACTGAGCTACACACAGGGAACTGTGAAGTGTTTTCAGTGTCTGTAAACTTCGTGCTGGTAATGTCCTCTCGAGTTGCGATATCCTTTTTTTTTTTTTGTAGAAAAAAGTATAAATATTTTTCTGTCCAGAAAGTCAGGTTAATGCATCCCTCAGAGAAAGATTCAGGGTGGTTGAACAGGAGAGCACGACTGTTCTCGGGAATGAATTCTGCTGGTCTGTGCCACGGGTCAATTGCGTGATGCACTAAGAAGGTGCCCGATGATAGTCTCTGCAAAAAACCGTCCAGAAGGACAAAATAGTTCTTACAGCAAGTCCATTTTGGGTCTGTAATGTAGCAGTAGAGGTGCTTTCTGAAAGATAAAATAATACACCTGCTTTTAGTAAATAGCTAATGCAATCAAAGTTTAGTGTAGAATGTAAGCAATTTATGTATCAAAGTGGAAATTAATTTAAACCAATCATGGCCAACTTCTTTTGCATGTGTGTGTAGGGAGGAGGGTTTCCTCCCCAGTAAGTTTGTTTGGAGGCTTTAATCTCAAAAGTTAAATGCATCAAGTTAACCACAAATATAACATACCTTAAATCTCCATCTCGTAACAACTACAAATTTGAGAGTGTGGTCCTTGCCCAGAATTTCTTCATTGCATAATATATCCAGCTAATAAAAACAGAAGTATTTCATTTATTTATCAAACACAAATTGCCACAAATCCTGACACAATTTTAAACAGTTAAATTAAAGAAAATGCCGGTTTAAATGTAAACTGTAATCCCTTTATAGGCAAAATAGATGTTGCTTCAAAGAATCCCTATAAGGATCTTCAGACGACAATTTGGAAGTCTTTTCCAATACAGTAAACCCATTTAGAGCTCAAACTCTAGGCCACGGGACAAATTGCATAACAAGGATATGTCTCTATCTGTCTCTATTAATGAGCTTGCCAGGCTACACAGGGATAATATTTGGGCACCTACTGGGGTTGCATGACTCAGGGCATAAACTGCATTCCATAGTCTCTGTTGGTGTGCAGAACAATAAAGGGATAGGTCACAATCTGTGTTGTGCTCTACAACAGACCAGAAGCTCTGCCCTGGTGGAAAATAAACTAAAACCAGAGTGTGTGGAAGTTATCAAAATGAGCATGTGCAAAGTTCTGAGCGTGCCTGCTTGAAGCAACTGTGAAAGGAAGGGATGAGGGAGGTCTGAATGAAAAAGCAGATAAAAAGAGTGTCATTTTAGCTCCCAGACAGGATTCACTAGGAACAAAAAAGAAGATTGCAGAAGTCACCAGTAAATACCCAATTGTCCAGGGGCAAACCAGACCATTACTAAGCATTTAACCCTATGTATGAAGCAGTTGATAAGAAACAGCAATAAAAAAGGGAGGGGGAGGAAACTGGCAAATTGTGCCTCGTTAGATATTTGATGGCCAATTTTTATTGTCTGGCTTCCTTCATCAGAATCAGAGCATCTCATACATCCATATCATGAATATTAAGATGTAAACTATTATATGGTCCCAAAACATCCAACTTAAGATGTCTCAACGTAGGTCTGGTTATACCTTCTACTTTATCCTTCTGTCTGTCACTTTTGTCTGGCTTTTATTAGACCTGCAAGACCAGACACACAGGGCACACACACAATTCATATAGGGACCACCTCAGAAGTAGCCGCCCAGCCACGGGGAAAATCTTGTTCAATAGGTTTATCCAACGTGAAGCAGGAAATCCATTCCCACATCCTAGGAGCTGATTGGACAAGCTCAGCCACGCACTTTCCCCTTGTCAGGTTGCCTGCACCTCTCGCACCTGATCTTAACTCCGCCCTTAGAGCACATGGATCTCAAGGGATGTCCAGAGCACTGCCTAGTCCTGTTCTGTTGGGTGAGTTTTGGTTGGTAAGGCTCAAGGATGTGGACAAGATGCTTGGACTGGTCTGGGTGACCGCTTGCGCTCTGGACCCTTGCCCCTTGTGGCTGATGAAAACTAGCAGAGAAGGGGAAGCTGGCTGGACCAGGGAAGTGATTAATGCCTCCTTGTGAGAGAAGGTGATCCCTGCCTGCTTGAAGGAGGCAGTGGTAAGACGACTCCTTAAGAAGCCCTCCCTGGATTCAAAAATCTATGCAATTACCGGCTAGTTGCCAATCTCCCCTTCCTGGGCAAGGTTCTTGAGCGGGTGGTTGCGGACCAGATCCAGGCACTTTTGGAGGAAACTGATTTTCTAGATCCATTTCAATTGGGGTTTAGGCCCAATTTTGTCACAGAAACTGCTTTGGTCGCCCTGGATGATGACTTCTGTCAGGAGAGAGACAGGGGAAATGTGTCCCTCTTAATTCTCCCCAACCTCTCAGCAGCTTTCGATACCATCGAGCACAGTATCCTTCTGGAGCGACTGTCCGAGTTGGTGATGGGTAGTGGCATTGCCCTGCAGTGGTTCTGGTTCCCTCGCTGCGAGAAGTGAGGTTACAGGGCCTTCTCGGTAGTGGTGCCTGCCCTGTGGAACGCCCTCCCAGCAGATGTCAAGGCAATAAACTACTATTTTACTTTTAAAAGACAACTGAAGGTGGCCCTGTTTAGGGAAGTTTTTAATGTCTGATGCTGTATTGTTTTTAATATTCAGTTGGAAGCCGCCCAGAGTGGCTGGGGAAACCCAGCCAGATGGGCGGGCTATAAATAATAAATTTATTATTATTATTATTATTATTATTATTATTATTATTATTATTATTATTATTCTGGTCCTACTTGGATGGTCACTGCTAGAGGGGGATGCTTGGAGAGTGCTCTTTGGCCCTGTAGACCCTTCAATGTGGAGTTCGTCAGAGTTCAATTTTATCCCCTATGCTGTTTAACATGAAACCACTGAGTGGAGTTATCCAGAGTTTTAGAGTCCACTGTTGACAATATGCTGATGACACATGGCTCTGTTCTTCCTTTGCATCTGCAGGTGGGGCAGTGAATATGCTGGACCCTCGTCTTGCCTTGGCAATGGACTGGATGAGAGCCAACAAACTGAGGCTCAATCCAAATAAGACTGACACACTGTTAGTGGTCGTTTCCCTAGGCCAGATGGATGGGAGGTGGCCTGCTCCTGATGGGCTTACATTCCCTCTGAAGGAGCAGGTATGTAGTTGTCATTTGAGGCTCAGGTGGCCTCGGTGGTGCGGAGTGCCTTCCATTAGCTTCAGTTGGTGACCCAACTGCTCCCCTACCTGGGCAGGAATAGTCTAACTTCTGTGGTCTATGTTCTGGTAACATCTAGGTTAGATTAGTGCAACACAGTAGGGCTGCCTCTGAAGACAGTTCAGAAACTTCAGCTGGTGCAGAATTTGGTGGCCTGGTTGCTCAGTGAAGCAAGACGGTTTGAGCATATTACACCGACTGCACTGGTTGGCAATTAGTTTCCAGCCCCAATGCAAAGTGCTGGTGTTGATCTATGAAGCCTTAAACTGCTCAGGACTACAATATCTCAAGGACACCTATCCCCATATGAACCAACTCAGACCCTGCCATCACCATTTAAGAGCCTTCTTCGAATGCCCCCTCCACAAGAGATCTGGAGGGCAGCAACACAAGAATGTGCCTTTTCTGCGGTGGCTCCCCGTTTGTGGAATGTTTTCCCCAGAGAGGCTCCATGGCCTTTTAAATGTGTTTGTGGGTGGAAGGTTATTGGTTTGTTTTTGTTCTTATTTTATTACGTATTTTGTCTTTTCATGTTGCATTTTTATGTTGCGAGCCACCTTGCGATCTTCAGATGAAGGATGGTAAACAAATTTAATAAATAATAATTATAACAAGCTACGAAGCCACCTAAATTCTAGAGGGTGAGGTATCAAATTGTGGCATTCAGCTTGCACAACAGACTTCCACTCATACAAACCTTACTTCCCTTCTCCCCACCCCCCACAGCACTCTGTGTGCCACTAAAATCTGCTCCACAAGTTTGGGGGACCTACTGGAGCAGATTTTTTTTGTTTTTAAGGCACATTTCTAAACTGCACAGTATGAATGAAAGCCTGAGGTTATCTCAGCTGTTTTTGCTTAAAAAAAACTTGAAAAAGTAGAGAAGGCCTGGGACTTCAACAGTCAGGACAGGATGTCACTTACTACAAACCTCTACCCCAAACCTCTTAACAGCCAAGTCTCCCTATAGATGCTAAAAAGAATGGTTCAAATGGAAATAGCAGGTGAAGGAAGAATAGTGAAATATGACTAATACCGAAAAGCTTCAGAACCAATTCTAAGAGAAAATGTCATTTGTTATACCTAAAGGGACTATTTCAAGATACCAACACTTTCTATTCATCAAGCTATTTCTGTCTCAGGGAAAAAAACCAACCCTATCATTTGTAAAGTGATTTTAAAAAAAAATAGAACGAGTTGCAAGATCATTTTAAGAACACAACACAATCGTATGTTTGTTCTTGGTAAGGATAATTTTTTATAAAGTTTACCTCATTAAAAGAAGAAAGATTAAGCTTTTTGGCAATGAACTTCTTTAGATGTAAGACTGTAGCCTGTGCAGAGCAGCGAATCCATTTTCTCTTCAATCCGCGCAATTTGCTGCTGTTGCATTCTAAGCAGATGCTTACCTTTTGGGGGGGAAACAAGCAGCCAATACGAGTTAATAGGGGTTCCCTTCTAAGTTCCCCTTGTTTCAGTGGCAAAAAGGTTGAGAAACTGAACTAAGCAAGGATTCATTTTACATAAAATGAAGGCACAAATAAATCAGCTGTAGAGCACATTCTTGGAACACAGGAGAGGTCCCAGTTTCAACCGCTGACATCTCTTGCTTTAGAAGAGTCGGGGAGCAGGTGACGACAGAGAGCTCAGCCTGAGAGCATGGAGAACCACAGCAAGGCGGAGTAGTCAATAGTGGGATAGATGGAGAAACAGTCCAACCTCCCTATGTCCCTAGGGAGCTGCTACATCATGGGTACCAACTGACAGGTACCTATGGAAGCATGCAACTTCCACATATCAAAGAGTCATGCAAGAGATCTATACCTTCCAAGACCAGAACTGCTGTTCAGCACCAAACTGGGACAGGTACAGTGGTGCCCCGCAAGACGAATGCCTCGCAAGACGGAAAACCCGCTAGACGAAAGGGTTTTCCGTCACAGAGGCGCTTCGCAAGACGAAGTTCCCTATGGGCTTGCTTCGCAAGATGAAAACGTCTTGCGAGTCTTGCCATTTTTCCCCCGCTTTCCCCCCCCTTTTTCAAAGCGGCTAAGCTGTTAATAGCCTTTTAACAGCTTAGCCGCTAAGCCCGCTAAGCCGCTAATAGCGCTAAATCGCTAATAGCGCTAATCCACTTAGCCGGCAATGGGGTTGCTTCGCAAGACGAAAAAAACGCTAGAAGAAAAGAATCGCGGAACGGATTCTTTTCGTCTTGCGAGGCACCACTGTATGTGTTTTTCTTGGTGGAGGCTCCACATATTGGAGGCAGCTTCACATGGTGATGTTGTTCAGGTGGTTCAGTGAAGACCGTGCTGGCCTCCTACCTAAGTAAAGCACTGCATCTTTAGTTTTCCTCTGCAGAAACCAAGAAGTTTCTTACACTGGGATGTGCAAATTCCAGGACCAGCTCCTCTACATTTAATAATAATAATAATAATAATAATAATAATAATAATAATAATAATAATTTTATTTATATCCCGCCCTCCCCAGCCGAAGCCAGGCTCAGGGCGGCTAACAACAATAAAATAGTGCAACATTCTAAAAGCATTTCAATATAAAAATTAATTAAAATGAAATTGATGGCAACCATTAAGCTAAACTTCTGTGAAGATTGCCAAAGGAGGGAGTCAGGCTGTGCCCTGACCAAAGGCCTGGAGGAACAGCTCTGTCCTGCAGGTCCTGCGGTAAGATGTCAAGTCCCGCAGGGCCCTGGTCTCTTGTGACAGAGCATTCCACCAGATTGGAGCCGCAGCCGGAAAAGCCCTGGCTCTAGTTCACCCCTACGGTGTGCTGCTAAATCCATGTCCGTTTGGATCTATAACTCTTCCCAGGATTTATAGCTGTCTTGTACATCTAAACAAAAAACAAACAGGAAATGGCCCTTCCAGTTCTACCTCTATGATCCATGGAGACAAAAACTGGAGTCGAGGGATTTGGCTTTCAGCAAAACCCTGAGCATATGAGGCTGCCTTATGATACCAGACTACTGCTCTATCTAGTCAACTGTTGTCTGTTCTGAGCAGCAGAGGTTATCCAGGGTCTCAGGAGGCTATCCTTCCTGCGCCTGCTGCCCAAGGACCTATTTCAGCAGGAGACGCAGGGGATTAAACTCAAGACTTCCTGCGTGCAAAATGTGCTCTACTGCTGAGCTATGGCCGCTCCCAATTTCAAACATCAGAGATACTCGAAACAGTCACATCATTGCCTTCTTCAAAATGAACTCAAATAGCAAAATTATGAAATGCTTAAACAAAAAGATTCGTTGTTTTTCCTCGCAGTAGGAAATGCTGAATTTCATTAACAAGAAATGAAAGTTAGGGATGAAATAACAGTTTATCTAAGTGGCTGCATTTTCACAGCTGCTGAAGCCAGGTGACGGATCAGCTGGCAGGAATAAACTACACATGTAGAAACAGTCCTAAAAGGCAGTGATTTGAAAAGCCAACTTCTCCAGAGCAGAAACAGAAACAAAGTGTACAGAAGGTTGCATCAATTATTCAACTAGTATATGGAGTTTTCGGAGCCACAACCAACCACACTAGGATGACAGAAAACAAAACCTGGCTACAGGTGATTGCAACGAAGGGTTCCACACTTTCAAAGAATCATAATACCCAGCAAGCATAGCCTGCTTTCGTTTTAGAAACTGAGTACTCACTTGATGAGAAACTTTTGAAACTCTGGGCAGTATCCAAATAAGTGCTCCACTAGCAAAAGGATTAATGTGTCTGCAATGGAACTTCGCCTCCTCTCCCCACATGCCTTCCTGTGCCCTTCCCAAATTTGCTCTGGAAGATTGGGGGTGGGGGCGGAATACATGCAGGGGACACACTGAGCAGATGGAAAGGTAGGGGAAATTCCACTGCGCAGCATCTTGTTGGATACCACTCTCTCTTAAAAATTAACACACCCATCGTAGCATCTCTAGCTACTCACTTCTTTGAAAAGGTACAACGTTATCTCCTAGCTGGTTCTATCCTGAAACCAAAAGCTAAACATCTACTTAATTAAAAGGACGTATTTAAACAGTACCTGCTCATCACTTCTATGATAATCGTTATCTTCTTCCTGTTTCTCTTCCGACGTTTCTTTGTTTGTACTCTCATCTGCTTTTGTTTCCCCTTATGAAAAAAGCAGAGAGCATCTGTGACAAAGTTGAAGACTCTAAAGATATCAAATTCACATATGAAATAAATGCAAGACGACCTCAGCCCTTTCAGATGTAGCTCTATCAGCTACAATAAATTCATTCATATTAAGAGCAATTCAAGCTACACATGGAAGACACTATGTGTCTAGTATGCCATGTAGTGCATCATGACAAACTTAGGCATTTGAAAGTTTTTTTTAAAAAAAAACTACTCTCAAGATTCTGATAGGTTATAATATCTTTAGATAATTCCACCAACAACCTGATTGTGTTCTTGCTGCTTTTAATGAAAACAGTTTACCAGCAAAGCCACCAACACTCAGACTTTTCATCCCAACATAACATGTACACATTCTTCTCATTGCAACACCTCGGATATTTCAAAAGATCACAACTTCCATTTCCTGTTTTTGACTGAAACTTCTGGAGATTTAAAATTAGAGTATACCAGAAAGAGAGAACAGGAAGCCAGAAAACAAATCTGGCCACAATTTGCCCCTGATCATAACCACTTTCAGCTAATTTGTCCCCAGCAGAGATGTAGGCAAAGGGCTCTTTATTCTGCTCCTCTTCAGAGGCAGAGGCTGTGTAAGAGTTCTCTCCTTACAATCAAGCCCTTCATGAAGCTAAATCGTTTGGGGTGGCATATTTACCTGCAAAGCCATGAAAGTCCTTGCAACACTTGCGTTCTGTTTTGACAAGCTGTACTGGAGCAGGACAATCAATCCCAAACACAAGGTTATATGGCACAGCCAATTTTACATTAGATTTATTTTAGAGCTTCCCAGTTAGTAAGATGTGGACCACCAACTCTGCCCAACTGCCAGGAACCACACACACATCTGGCCCCTAAGGCCTTGTACTTGTGTCGCATAAGAACATCCCACAAGGTGAACAGAGAGAAGAACTCGACTATACCCACATCAGATCTTTCTGCAGTCCTTTGCTCAGATGCGCCAAGAGCATGTGGCATCCACTGGCACTAGGGCACTAATGGACACCCCCACACTACTGTCAAGACTAATATTAGGATACCACTTTTGTCCTTGAACCAGTAACACATTCCTTGCTCTGGATCCTGGGTGTTTTATTTCTTTAAATAAATTTCTGCATCCTTGGCTGATGCATCTGAAGTAGGTTCTTAACTACAGTGGCTCATGTCACAATCATGCCACTTAAGGACTGTAAAGTTCATTCTGCAACAGCAGAAAAACGTGCAGCACTCAAATTCGCTTTGATGAAAGCAGCTCACAGTGAAGTGTATCACAGTGAAGTTGTTTTATTGCCTCTAAAGACTTAAAAATTGGCTATTGATCCGGCATCCTTAGTCAAAGCTGTAGTCGTCTTTATAAACCACTAGGCATTCTGAATGCCTACACCACAGCACCCACATATGTACAGATGATGGATCCACTTCCTACATTACACGAACAGGTAGACCGTACAGGTGAAGATCATAGGTACCATCAATTGTGGAAAATGGCATGAATGTAAAATTTGTTGCAAATATATAGGTCAGGAGGCTGTAGCCTTCCAGCTGCTTACTTGTGGGAAAATATATATTTGTCCCACATTTCACAAGCAACAGCATACATATTCTTTAGGAAACAGAATATATTGGTAATAAACAAATTATAAATCAATAAAGAATGTTCAAACAATTTCCTTTCGCAATCACAGGTGTAGCAAATACATGCAATGTCTATTTACCATTACGGTGGGAATCTAAATGTTGCTTGGCTGAGCACGTCTCCCCTTTGATGTCACCTGGTACTTCCATGCCCAATTTGTGGTAGAAATCCCTCTGCTTCCTCATTTCCGCTGTTTAAAATTTTAACACAGTGTCTTTAGCTAAGATCAGTGGACTTCATCAACTTCAGCAAACAATTTACTCCTCTCACACTTTCAGCAAAATGTATCAAGAGCACCCTCTAATGTCCGACAGCTTTTCTGTGACTCATTACACATATCTTAATAAGATGAGAAATTTCTTAAATGATTGAATGCTACTTTTGGATTTCACTTTCTACATTAAAATGGCCCAGCACTTGTTTCATGCACTTGATAGTGACTCTTGGCAAGATTTGGGATTGAGGCGGGCACTCATGTTTTACAAATTGTGAAATAAAGTCCTCCCACACACACATACACTCCCATGCCTGGTTCATTTATGAAATAATTTTCAGTCAGAAGTAATGGTGGTATTACTGTACACACATTGTATGTATAAAGTATCCATATTAGTGAAACAGGCAACAGCAAAATCTAGGACTGCAAATTGCAGCATATCCACAAGGCATTTTATGTTGGTATGCATTGCAGGAAATGTAAGCAACTATGTGGATATTGACATTTACTGGTAATTTAGGAAGCCCGCTGGGAAATGTTAGAAATGCCTGAACCATGAGACTTGTTTCTGAAATTTACTCATGTGCTTCTTAGGTAAGTGTCCTTTATCAGTTATATGATAGAAAAGGGGAATGACATTTAGACATTTAGGTGCCAGGCGAAAACATCCCTCTATAACCAGGCCTTTGGCTGATTAAAAAAATCTATGGTCTTCCAGATGTGTTTGTGGGAGGGGGGCTTTTGGTTTGCTTTTGTTTTTTGGTTATATATTTTGTGTTAATATATTTTCAGGTGAAGGGTGGTTATATATGTATTTAGCTAATAAATAAAATAAACTTCCCAAAGGCATTTAGTTATCCTGTCATTTCTCTCTTGGCCCATTCAAATATCAGTAAATACCAGTAAACATCCCCACTTGCTAAAATTTCTCACATTCACATGTGCAAATATGAGGCACCCACACTGCAATTAATTTTCCTGCCTGCAGTATCTTGAGGGCCAAACTACATATTACATTGGTGCCTCATGTATGGAGCTCCCAACATAACTTTCTGTAAAATCAACCAAGAGATTAGTTTTCTCTTCTACAGGCTAACAGCAGCTCTGAAGAAGTGATCTGACTTGGGGCCACAGTACAGGGGGGACCTCCCCTCTCTCCCAGTCCAAACTTGAAACCACCATAACCATCCCAGTAACTTTTACAAGCATGGAGCTCCAAGGTAACATGCCAATTGGCCCTTAGTTGCCAAAGCAACCTCATAAAAACAACCTAGAACTACATTATGCCATCCATTATTTCATGTTATTTTATTTTTAAAAAATCGAACCATTACCTCCAAACACCACATTGAAAAGTTTTAATCATATGTAAATGTTTACCGAAGAGTATATTGTTCACTTACCTTCCTGAAGACCTGGAACAAGTTTGTAAACAATATCTTGCATTGTTCTGTCATGACTGGCCAAAAAGAGAGAGAAAATAACAGGAAGTAAATTTCACTATGAAGCACTTCCATGCTGAATTTGTCCATTGGATGGTGGGATGAGCATTGAAATTTCCCTTGGGATCAGCGCTGAAACATCAACTCATTCCTCACGTAAAAGTAAAGTTAATGAAGGAAGGCTGGATGGCTCCCCATAATTTTCATTGTGCTATGCAATCAAGTGATGTGCAGTCAAATTACCGTATTTTTCGCCCTATAGGACGCCCTTTTTCCCCTCCAAAAATGAAGGGGAAATCTGTGTGCGTCCTATGGGGCGAATACAGGCTTTCGCTGAAGCTTGGAGAGCAAGAGGGGTCGGTGTGCACCGGCCCCTCTAGCTCTCCAGGCTTCAGGAAGCTATCAGCAAGCCTGGGGAGCCCGCGGGAGTTCCTGCAGGGCTCCCTAGGCTGTGGATAGCTTCCTGAAGCCTGGAGAGCTAGAAAGGTCGGTGCACACCAACCCCTCTCGCTGGGCAGACATCCGCAGCGTGGGGAGTCCTGCGGGAACTCCCACAGGGCTTCCCATGCTGCGGATAGTAGCCTGCCGCCCGGCGCGCAGAGCACCATGAAGCAGAGCGCCCCGCGCGCCGGGCAGACATCGGCCAGCCCCACAAGCTTGGGGGACAGCGGGGAGGCGCAGTGCCACCATCCCACTGTTCCTCGACCTGGTTTGGAGGCTGGCGCTGGGGAGGAGCGCGCTTCTCCCCAGCGCCAGCCCCACAAGCTCGGGGGACAGCGGGGAGGCAGAGTGCCGCCATACCGCTGTTCCCCGACCTGGTTTTGGGAGGGAAATAAAGGGGGGAAATTTCCTTTATTTCCCCCCCAAAAAACTAGGTGCGTCCTATGGGACGGAGCGTCCTATGGGATGAAAAATACGGTATGTACATGCATTTCCAAACCAGCCCACTGATGGAAAAGGCATACCTAGCAGATCTCTGTACATCTTACCTTAAAACGATACTTACCCAATATATTGTAGTGGATGGCTCTGGTGTATAACTATCCTGCATGTGGGACAGGTGTTATTTTCTTCCAAATACTTTACCAAGCAACTCCTGCAGACTGTTTATAGAAAGATTTGGTTACTACCGTCCTAAGAACAAGCATGGATGTTGCATATTTAACACTGTTCCCTTAAACCAGGGGTGGAGAACCTGCCCTCCACCCAGCCAGAGGGCCACATTCCCTTCGGGGTGACCTGCTGGGGGCCACATAGAGGATGTGGGTGGGCCAAGGCAAAAGTGAACAGAGCCATAAATGTGAACATCACCTTTGTATAGTAGGCTAGTTTCTTCACACTCACACATTCCTCTCTATCCTCCATCCATCCAAGCAAGTAAGCAACATTATTGGGGTTCACTGCACACTTTCCAGCCAGTCAAAAAACACTCAAGGGGGGTGCAAAGCTGGGCCAGGGGCATGGCTCTCCAGGGTATGTGACCTAGAGAGATTTCTGAGGGCCAGAGAGCCCTGGAAGGCTCCAAGCATTTGGCCTTCAAGCCTGAGGTTCTCCATATCTGACTAGAACATTTCATTCTTTACAAAACTGCTTTCTCAATACAAAAAAAGTTAAATGTAATCTAAATGCATTAGATATTTTAGCAACTATTTATATTCACTTTCCAGCTTTAACTAAATAATGGCCAATAAGGATGTATTGTCTAACATACAAATGTTAAGGCATATATTCAGGCACTTTCATTCATTTATTCAATCATCTCCAGAGGGTAAAATTCAGAGGGTTAAATATAGATAAGAAAGATGAGAAGAGCAGCAATATAAAACTGGGAGGGGTTTTGTTTGCCTGCTTGCTTTTCTGGTATGTGTTTAGAATTCTAAACTGATTTAAATTTTAAAGTACACATTTTTTTAGGTTGTTTGAATGCAGAATATGAAATTATGAAAAAGTTGTTTCCTGCTTAAGAACAACATGGTGTTTAGAGTCAAACTGAGGTCTGTATAGGATGTTCCTTATAAACATGTATTTATTACATATCTGACAGTGTGCCATCATTGATTTAGCGTTGTCTAAAGTTGACATTGAGGTTATTTCAGTGACGTTAACAACAGAGTGGTAGGTACAGCAAAAGGATACCTAGAACACCCTTGCTTGCTTATAGTCTCTGCTTGCTTATAGCCAACTGCCCTACAATGGCTTTGAAACCTTGGCAATACTGGTGCCTGGCTTCTGCAGTTAAACAGTGCCATCTACATCTCACAAAAAATGATGCACATTTTAGCAGAAACAAGCTCAAGGTAGTGCTTAATAACAGCCAGGATGAGGCACTGTGAGCCTTTAGAGGGAAGCCTGGTTTGTAAGGAGGGAGGGCAGAGAGATATATGCAAAGCAATGAGGACCAATTGACATAACAAAGATTCACACCCACATGATTACCCAGCTATCCTATTGCATTAAAAGTCAACAGAAAGCATATGACTAAAACCATGGAAGAGGGACAGCAAGGTGAAAGTCCAGATAGACCAAGATGATGGTTCAGTTTTATTATTTATTAAAATATTTATTGCTCTCTTGCATGGAGTAGAAGTTCCTTTGGAGGGAAAGGAAATGGGGAAAGAAGAGGAGCTTCTGAGTAGGATAGGGGGGAAAGTTCAGTGTTTTGGAAGCACTGTATACCATATTTTTCACTCTATAGGATGCACTTTTTCCCCTCCAAAAATGAAGGGGAAATGTGTGTGCGTCCTATGGAGCAAATGCAAGCTTCCGCTGAAGCCTGGAGAATGAGAGGGATCGGTGCGCACCGACCCCTCTCGCTCTCCAGGCATCGGGCAGATATCCGCAAGCCTTGGGAGCCCGCGGGAGTTCCCGCCGGGCTCCGAAGGCTTGCAGATAGCAGCCTCCAACCCCGACCTGGTTTGGAGGCTGGCGGTGGGGAAAGCAGTGCTCCACCCCGCCTTCCCGCTGTTCCGCGACCTGGTTTGGAGGCTGGCGGTGGGGAGAAGCGCTGCTTTCCCCACCGCCAGCCCCACAAGCTGGGGGGACAGCGGGGAGGCGGAGCGCCACCTTCCCGCTTTTCCCCGACCTGGTCTTTGGGGCTGGCGGTGGGGGAAAGCAGCGCTCCCCCCCCACCAGCCCCAAAGAGCAGGTCGAAAGGAACCCAAAGCCTCCAGAGCCCAGCGGGAACTCCCGCTGGGCTCCGGAGGCTTCGGGTGAACGCACCCTGAACGCACAGAACGCACCTTGACTTAGAGGGGGAGAACAAGAAAAAAATTTTTTTCCTGTTCTCCCCCTCCTATGGTCCGGTGCGTCCTATGGTCCGGTGCGTCCAAAAGAGCGAAAAATACGGTAAATGGCAAATTCTATGAAGTTTAAATGCACTTATAAGCCATCACCTATCAAAGGGGGGCGTGTCTTTCAAATGTCATAAGGACCTTAGCACTGAAATGGAATACACCACAAGCACCCAAACTGGGAATGATTGTGACCTGACAAGGGGGAGGTGGCTACATCTTATTGCTACATGAGCAAGAGCTACAAACCTATCTTGTCTACTTCTTGTCCAGAGTTATGCCTCGTGCAGTTTCACAAAACAGTTCCTGAAAGTCTTCAGTTTAGGTTTAAATTAGGAGTATTAACCTAAGGCTTACAAATCGGCACAGCAATCAACTCATAATTTTGTATGTATCACATGAACTAAATCTCCATGTTTCTTTTTCTTTCACATACCATTTGCAAAATATTAACAAGCTCCCCCTCATCCTTCCTTTTAGATCTACACTACTGGTCCGTATGAGGGAAAGAAGAACCTGATTTATTGCCAGCAATAAACCTTGGATTATGTGCTGCTTCAAACATCACCACCATCATTAATTCTCCAATACACCTTATCTTTCTAAACAATCCCACTTTTAGCATTCCTAAAAGCCTACCATAATATACCATTGCCCTCGCCTTCAAAGTAAAGCAGAACATTACTTGGCATCATTCATTTACACTCTCCCCTACCACTAAAAGAAGGACCATAGCATATGCTTTGTATTCACATGAAAGTTAGCCTCAGGCTTATGGGGACCCTTGCTATGTCCTTCCCAGCAGAAAGTAACATCTTATCCAGCCAGAATATGGATTTTATCTGTAATCAGAATCTGTCTTCACCCACGATCTGATCCTGGATGGGGGCGTGGGTGGAGAAAAGCTTGGTATTTGACATTTGACTCTGAAACATTACTGAGCTAGAAGAAGAAGGCAGAGAGGATGTATCGAACAATGAAAAATACCCAACCCACTATTCTTACATCTGATGAAACATCACTATTAATACTCATATTAATACTCACAGGTATGCAAGCATTCCGTTACAGTGGTAGCATCAATAAGATAACCATTGCAAAGGCGGCAGGTTATATGGGCATTGATGTCCCAAAGCTTAATCTTCCTCGTCAGCATCTTTGGTGTCTGCAAGAAAAACAGGGCCATCAGTTTTTCCAAGTGTGGATGTAAGTGGCCTTTGCAAATTTAAATATTTGACGTTCATGATAAGCCTGCAATACAGAGAGTGATTAGCTTTCTTCCTAACAATATTTTACTTGAAAAGAAGGGTCCTGGTTTAAGAAAATGAGAATGAATATCCACTGAACTATCCAATCCAATTACTAAAGGCAAGTTCAAAATTTGGTATTCTAGACCTGATGCTGCAATATTTATTCGCAACTAAGTTTGTGACATTCTACACAATCAGGTTTAACTGGGGCCTAGTTCTCAGAAGTAGCAGGTAAGGTTACTGGACTGCACCACTTCAGATTGCAGTTGCGGGCAGTGATGGAAGTATGGATTGTAGGATCCCAAATTAGAATGAATTACCAGCATAAATTTCAAAAACTTCCAAAAATCCCCACGTTACTGGGTAGAGTCTCACATGATTCTATCACACAAACACACACCTGTATTTAACCCTGGAGAGTCACTGGCAGTCACAGTAGACAATTCTGAGCTAGGTAGGTCAACAGTCTGACTAAGTACAAGGCAGCTTCCTAGGTCATGATGTTGTAATGGAGCTTACCTCTGAGTAGGAATGTATACGATTGAACTGTAAAAGTTCATCTGTTGTTGAAATGACCTTAGACTGATATAACCTGCAGCTGACTTCAGGTCAGTTAAAAAGCAGCATGATAGGAATCCAGTATCTAGGAATTTGGAGTCGCTGGGTCTGCAAGGAATTGTTGAAAGTCTGCCTCAGGGGACAGATGTTACATATTTTATTACCTTATGAATCAAAAGTCTGTGTAACTTTGGGGGTGGGGACTAATGTGTATGTTGGTAGCGTAAGACAATAAGGAATGGTTAGTCATCTTCCTTCTTTCAACTGGGGCCTTTGAACAGAAGTTAAACAAGTCTCTGTGTAATCTGTGTGTAATGCATGCATGTGCGCTTTCATCAAGAATAAATCCCTGAACCCTAAATTTGGAAGGGCTGGGGTAGGGGGGACCCTGACAAAACAAACTGTTAAAATCTCTCAAAAACGTTATGAAAACAGCCAAATTTGATGAGCAAGTTTGGCTCATAAAAAATATACAAACTCAAAGTTCCCAGAAAGCAGCTGAAGTATGCCATACTAAAACTTATAAGTAGGATAAAAACACCTGCTCACATTTCCTCACTGGGAAAATCTGCACTGGAAAAAGAGGAGTATAGCATTAAATAATTAAAAACGGGGGGGGGGGGGGAGCTAGTTTTACCATCTGTTGCAATGGTATCCTACACGGCAGGTGTCACCAAATTAACGTGCTTTTCAGTAAGAACTGCTGAGACACTTTGGCTCAGAAAACATTTTAATTAATTTTTATTTTGGAACGCATTTCATAATTTCATTGCAGTAAGGGTAATTCAATGTGCTTGCATCTTCAGATTACTTTAAGATAATGCTGCACTGACCATTTTCCTTTGCTTTCCTGATCAATGTACATGTCATTCAATAAAACCAGCTAGCAGGAGCCAAACTCAAGATTCTTAGGGGAGGGGGGGAATTCTGTTTTTTTTATGATTAACTATTCTCTCCCCTTAAGAGGCCTTCTACAAATTATTGTGTAGATTGTTAGAAATGAATCATTCATATGTTTTTATGTCCGATGAAGGTACTGCATATCCATCAAAGCCAAACTTTCCAAGAAAAATCAGCATAGGCAATTCTCCATATGACAGGTCCTTAATGCTGGGGGAGGGGGGGTTGTATGCCACAAAGTATGACTGATTCAACGGCGGGACGCGGGTGGCGCTGTGGGTAAAACCTCAGCGCCTAGGACTTGCTGATCGCATGGTCGGCGGTTCGAATCCCGCGGCGGGGTGCGCTCCCGTCGTTCTGTCCCAGCGCCTGCCAACCTAGCAGTTCGAAAGCACCCCCGGGTGCAAGTAGATAAATAGGGACCGCTTACCAGCGGGAAGGTAAACGGCGTTCCGTGTGCTGCGCTGGCTCGCCAGATGCAGCTTTGTCACGCTGGCCACGTGACCCGGAAGTGTCTGCGGACAGCGCTGGCTCCCGGCCTCTAGAGTGAGATGAGCGCACAACCCTAGAGTCTGGCAAGACTGGCCCATACGGGCAGGGGTACCTTTACTATGTGTTTCACCACCTCACTTTGCTATATGTTAATACTGTGTCTTGCCTGAACTGTATTGCTTCCTCCCCACCCAGCCCCATAGCCAGAGTAGCAAGAAACAGTCTCTTCTGTACAAGGCATCTGCACATATAGGTAAACTATTTGTTGGTAAAGAAGAGAAGAGTTTGGATTTGATATCCCGCTTTATCACTACCCTAGGGAGTCTCAAAGCGGCTAACAATCTCCTTTCCCTTCCTCACCCACAACAAACACTCTGTGAGGTGAGTGAGGCTGAGAGACTTCAGAGAAGTGTGACTAGCCCAAGGTCACCCAGCAGCTGCATGTGGAGGAGCGGAGATGCGAACCCGGTTCACCAGATTACAAGTCAACTGCTCTTAACCACTACACCACACTTGCTCTCCATTCCATACACCGATAGTGCTGGCCAAACACTTATGCCTTGCTGGTCACAGCCTGGACACATGGATCAAGACAAGCTCTTTGAGCACACACACAGTTCCACTGCAAACTCCCATGAAACAAGGAGAAGGATGGCTCTCCCCCATGGCGGCACTCAGTCTTCTCTTACAAACAGCAACTGTGCTTGAGGAGATGCAGGTACTATAGTCTGGCAGCAGATGCCTCTTGCTCTCCATGGGCCACTGCCCACAGGTACCAAGCTTTCATGGGGCGGGCTTTCCCCACGGCCTACAAGGAATGGGGAATCCATTCCACGTAGACCCCAAGGAAGAGCATCCCATGACCAGCAATCAGGATGCCCCTGCCTGTTCCCGGCCTACTTCTTCCAGCCACTCTTTGTTCGCAGTATCAACATGAAGTTGTGAGCCATGAGGGGCACCATAGCAGTTACCTTGCTACTGAGCAACTGTCCAAGGCACAGCAGCCCTCCTGGAGGAACTGGTTATGCCACAGGTCTTTCTTTTCAGGCTCTCTTCCACCCCAGGTGCTATTCACTATGATTTGGCTGCAATCCTAACCCCCTTTCCACAGGGAAAGCCCCACTGAATTCAATTGGACTGACATCTGGTCAAGATTGTGCACATATGCTCTTTTACTGCCAGGAAGCAGTAAATCCCTCTCCCTGGTATGATCTACTTTCAGACCCCCTCCATGAGAATGCCACTTGTTCCGCCAGGCTTCACCTGCAACCTATGTGCTTCTGGCACATGTGACTGAGTCTCAACGCTGAGGGAAACCAATGTGTCACGACACATCTGTTTCCTGTCTGCTGCCAATAGGGAACTAATGAGTAGTGTCTCTGGTGTTGCTCATCTTCTCCCTATTCTCCCTGGTGAGGTTCAAACTCCAGTTTCCCTACCTTGTGCCCTATACAGTGAGCGGTTGCAGTTTCCTTTGTCCTTTATCCTGGTACTTCCCTTTCCCTGCTTGGCAAAAGACACTTCTACTCCTTCAGTGAGTCTTGAGCTCTTGTCTCAAAGAGGGCTCTATGCTCTCTTCTCTGCAGGCCTCCTTCCAAGGAAGCTCTCAGGGCTCTGTGTTATATGGCCCCTCCTTCCTTCTCTTTACATGCTGCAATCAAAAACGTACTTGCAAGGAGTATGTGCTGCCAGGGCAAACTACTTCTGAGTGCAAAGATGCCAACAGCTTTTGGTTGCTGGTGTCTTCCTGCTCACATGGTGGAAGATGCTGCCTTTACCAAAGGTATCATGGACTTTGTAGACACTCGAACTCAGGAAAAAAGGGAGAAACGTGCTAAGAGGAAGGCACGTTTGGCAAACCCTCACCATCATCAGCTCCCATCCGGAAACCTATGTCCCCACTGCGGAAGGACGTGTGGATCCAGATTTGGCCTCCACAGTCACTTACGTACTCACTGTTAAGACTGTGTTCATGAAAGACAATCTTACTCGGCTACACGTGATCACCAAAGAAAGAAGAAGAAGGTTTCATTATGTCTGATATGCTGAGTCTGGGGTGAGTTGAGAGAATGTGTAATGAGGGCACATCTGTGTCAGCGTAAGTAGCCCCCCATCACAGTATCCAGCTCAAACATCCATTTCAGCAACTTATCATCTCCATAACATTGCCAAACTGGCCAGCCATGACAGCTTGGTGGTGGGGATGCTAGTTTTGCTCCTTTCTGTGCTTTTCAGAGCAGTGTGTTTCTCCCCTTCTACTCCGGGCTGGAAGAGTGCAAAATATGGTAAATATTACAATAGTATAGTAGCTGTTTATCTCTCCCCTTGGTGTATTTGAGTGTATTTGCCCATGGAGGATACTTTCTAAAACACATAGTGGCCACATCTGTACATCACACTGTGCCAAACCATGATGACAACATGACAATAGCCAAAGTTCAGTCCTTTCACAGCTCTGAAATTTGTACACTATCTCCTCCTTAACAACAATTCTGGGTTCAGACAACACAATAAGCAAAACTTTGGCTTATCTCCTGTCTTGTGCTGACCTAAAAAAGCCTGGGAAGGAGCAAGGTAGGTGTGGGACTCAAAACATTCATGGTAAGCCATACTCTGGCACCATATAAAGCAGTGCCCCAGAGATCGGAGATATCAGATACTGAGAAGTAATGCTAAACAAACCCATCTAATCCTCAAAATAAACAGCATAATCTTAGCTAATAAATGCAAACAGAAAATTCATGTGCTTCAGAGGAATTGGGCACTAACTGTGGTTAGAAGAATGAACAGCAGCTGCAACAACCAGGACTGCAATCTTCTGCAGTTCCATGCCTGGGGAATCCTACACAGAATATGACATTTGTCAAAGGGTTTGCATGACAGAAGATCCACGAGAGCACATCCAGTGTACATACTTTTACAGTTTAACAACAGTTGCAGGGGTACATTGGGAAATTTGATTGTAACTGCAGTGGGGTGGGTATGTTAAACCCTTCACTCTGTGCTGTTGTTTAAGTGAAAATCGTCTTCTGAAGCTATTAATAATATGGATACCTGTATGCTTTGTTTTCTCTTGCAGGGCAAATAGCAGCCTAATAGGAAAATGTTACAGAGAGAATAGGGTTAACACATTGTCTCAAATGGATGCCTACACTTCTAATTGTATTTAAATTGTTTTTTTTTTAAATTAAAAAAATAAACAGTGGGAGAGCTAATACTTACTCTCCCTGGATGAGAGTAAAAATGCGACATTTTTCCACCTTCGCCGCATCAAGCAGTTGGTCCCTTACCTTTCCCGCCCCGACCTGGCCACAGTGATCCATGCGACGGTCATCTCCAGGCTTGACTACTGTAATTCACTCTACATGGGGCTGCCCTTGAAGCTGCCCCAGAAACTCCAGCGGGTACAGAATGCTGCAGCGAGGCTCCTCATGGGGTCTCTGCCTTGGGAGCATATTCACCCAGTGCTTTTCAAGCTGCACTGGCTCCCGGTGGAGTACAGGGTCAGATTTAAGGTGCTGCTTTTGACCTTTAAAGCCCTTCACGGCCTAGGACCCTCGTACCTACGGGACCGCCTCTCCTGGTATGCCCCACGGAGAGCCTCAAGGTCCATAAATAACAACACCCTAGTGGTCCCAGGCCCTACGGAAGTTAGATTGGCTTCAACCAGAGCCAGGGCCTTTTCAACTCTGGCTCCGGCCTGGTGGAACGCTCTGCCTCATGAGACCAGGGCCCTGCGGGATCTGATTTCTTTCCGCAGGGCCTGTAAGACAGAGTTGTTCCGCCTGGTCTTTGGCTTGGAGCCAATTTGATTCCCTCCCTCCCTCCCTCTCTTTCTTTTTTCTTTTCCTTCTCCTCCTGCGATGAGGCTACATTTTAATATTTTAATGTTCCATAATTTTAATGTTGTATTTTATTTTTGTTTTTAAGTTGTAATCATTCATCTTGTTTTTATTATTGCTTGTAAGCCGCTCTGAGCCCGGCCTTGGCTGGGGAGGGCGGGGTATAAATAAATAATAATAATAATAATAATAATAATAATAATAATAATAATTATTATTATTATTATTATTATTATTATTATTATTGTTATTATTATTATTATTATTATTATTATTATTATTATTATTATTATATCTAGTTTGGCCCCAAGATAACCTCAAGCTTTTCTGCTTCTGAAAACAGCAATTTCCTAGCTCCCATGGCATAGTGCTTTGTGTTGGTATCCATCTGTCTCGAGAGACAATGAAATGCACCTCTGGGATTGAAGTCAAGCTACTGCACTAGCAGCACTGAAGTGACCACCCCAGGGTGTAAGCCTGGGCAGTGTGTATGGAGGTCCTGGGCTGCCCAGAAGACAAGACACCACCACCCCAGCCTCGCTGATGGGGTTTCAAAGGAAAGCAGAGCAATATGTCTGGCACCAACTTGGTGGCAGGAGTTGCCAGGAGGTGTACAAGTCACTATCCAACTGTCTTAGGGTCTCCGCTCTGGATTTGTGTTGGGTTTATTCCGAGTTCCTTAGCAGTGCTATTTTTCAAAAAAAAAAGACATGCCAAAACTCACCATGAAAACCTCCCTCATTCTCTTAGAATGGCAATAGCACCCGCTTGAAAAGTGCTGAAACTGACTTCTGGCAAGTTCCGGCTGAGAAAAAGCCCTGCTCCTTAGCCTTTTCTTCTCCTGAAGATATTCCACAAAGCAGCAGAGATTTAGCATCAGATTTTTCCTTCTCCTAGGTGGGCTACCTTTCCAGGTGGATGAGCCCCATCTGCCCCTCACTTCCCTCTACAGCATGTACAGAAACCATCTTCTTGACTGCTGAACCCAATACTAGTCTTGTCTGCTCAATCTGCC